TATATTTAGTTTGCAGTTTGACTATGATAATAATCCCAGTTCAGCTCGTATTTAAAGTTTAGTGAACTGGCAAAGACTAAAGCATGTGGCAGTGTAATAGTGACATACTACTGACAGCCAGCATAATTACAGGTCAGGGCTGGAGAGATTCCTCTTATAGCAACATGATCCAAGTTCTGATTTATCTTTTATACCACACAGAAAATGTGGCATTACCTCATAAACTAAAGGGCCTGATTTTTTACTTTGTCATCATTCTAAGCAGAAAAAAGACAAAGCAGAGTAGGACACCCTCTCTTTATCCCTGATGTACCTTGAATTTCCATCATTATATTTTCCATTTAATGGTTTAGACATCTTAACGTAACAATTATTTTTATGATTTGGAAAACACGCTGTATGACGCTGTATGTTGAATAAAACCACAGCCGTTTGTCTGTTTCTGTTTTTTTTTCTTCATGCGTTTTCAGTTGTGCCTTCCTAGAAACAAACTATTTTCCCAGGATAACATATTTTACTGGTGCCAGAACACCAAGTTAATCATGACATCAACACAACCCTGAAACGATTTCCACACTTTTTTGTACCAGGTTTGTTTATCCCAGGGCAGAAGTGAACTGAGTCGTATGTGAATCTGAACAGGTTTTTCTGGGATCTCATTCAAATAAATAAAACAAGGCAGGGTTGGATGGAGAAGACTGTTAACTGGTGCAAGTTTGCATAACATTCCTTTCGTCAGGTCTCGTTAATTTCTGTGTACGCTGTAGACTTCTGTTGCACAGCCCTACCCTCCTCCCTTTAGGCGAGGGTGCAGGGGAGCAGTCAGGCCTGACTCACACATATCTGCGATGCACGGCCAAATGTGACGATACTTCCATGAATCTACACCATTTCTGCACCCACACTACATCTGTCACATGAGAGATGTCTCAGAGAGCATATGTTTTATCAGCCCATGGTGAATGAAATATAACAAATCCAACATAGTGAGGGTCTAAAAGCCTCATTCTTTCATGGCATGTAATTAGTCAGTGTTAAACAACTGTAGTTACGAGGCATCTGCAATTTGGTCTCACAATTTGGTATTTCCTCTAAAACAGAATTTCCTTTGAGTGTAGCAGGTAAGTGCTAGGTATACAACTGTAATTGTATCCCTAGAGAAATGTAATTACCCCATTAGCAGGGGAGTTGGTTACTATTCACACTATTTAGTAGACTATATCAAGTTTATGCTCTTTTTCTCTCAAATCTGGCACTGACCGAGCACTGTGGAGGAGGCGGATAAGCAAGTGAGACGAGATGACTGGGTTGTGTGCATGTGTGTGTATGGCGGGAGGGGGGCATTACCTCCCACAGGGGCCCTGACTCAAGGGATCGAATTTCAGACGTTTACCAACAAAGCCTCCAAGAAGGAAGTCTCGAGACCCTCACAACGACATCGCAGCACCTGGCGATCCCCACACAGGAAATCTGAGGTCACTTCCCCCCTTCCAGGGAATGCAGACATGCTACTCCTTCCAGCCACGTGCCCCCACATCCTACAGAGGAGGTAACTCGCCAACACAATACAAAAGAAATGCACATGTTGTTTATCTAGTTTTATTCTGCTAACACCAAATTCTGTGTCCTTACTAGGAATCTATTGTTGCTGAGAGTGGCTTTCATTTTAAAAGTTGACCGGACTTCATAAAGGAAGTGCTAAATAAGGACACTGTTGAAGGAAGTGCTGATTAGGAAGACTCGCATCATCGAAATTTGATGACAAATGCTTGTACTAACTTTTCATTAAGCAAGTCCAAGCAATGTCCTGCTGTGAGCATTAAACATAGCAAAATCTCTGGCACTAAGAAGCACAAAGTCTTCAGTACTTAAAAATAGGAATAAAATGGAACCCAATGCCCTCAGAAACACCACTTAGTAATGGTCAGCTTCACAATGTCAAAGAGAACTACTTTAACATAAATCTAAATAGTTTTCCCAAAGCACCTGCAAACACTTGACCGCTGATTTCTCCATCATTATCATTGGCCTGCTTTCAAATGGTGCCAACACATAAAAACCAGCCACAACCAGTCCGGGTCGTTTAAGCTGCAGTCCCAATGCAATTCGGAACTGGCAGGGGTCCAACCACCGTGCGGGGGCAAACCTTTGGAAAACACTGAGCCCTCTGAAGAATGTAGCTAGGGTCAGTGAGATGGAGAGGGAGAGGAAGAGGAAAAAAGGCAAACAAACACATTATGTAGCCTGTGGGTTCTACTGGGGCAAGCTTCCCAGATGGGGCAGAGTAGCTGGCTTTGGGCTACTAGGGAATCATTTTTGCTTGCTACTGTGACAAATAGATTGTGTAAAAAAAAAAAGCAAATCCCAACATGGTGTAAACCAGGATTAAAGATATAGCATAAAGATGCTGGAAGGAGTTCTGCATTGTTGGTGTTTTTGAGGCTGAGCTCAGGAACAGAATGGATTCTGTTATACCACAGGACTAAAAAACATTCATTATATCACGAGAGTTTGTACTGGGGCTTAACTATAGGTTTTTTTGTTGTTAATAATGGATGCTGGAGCATTTAATTGTTTCCAGTTCAATATCTAAAATGCTCAGACTTATCAAGCAGGATATGGACAATATTACACTAATCAGAGATTTATTGAAACATAATTCGTAATTTCTGAAAGGTTTAAAGCAAGCATTACCCACCCTGTTAAATCAGGGCAGTTAACATAACCCTTAATAATACCAGCAGTCTTTAAATCTCAACAATTACTACACTTTAAGGAGTAGCATTGTGTTTTAACTAGATTCTATAGAGTTAATATCAATACTGTAACATGGCATAAGCTAGCCATTAATATCGTGTAGAATACATATTGAACTACACATATCAGTCGTGTAAGCATCATGCAGAAAGTGTTCGCAAAAAGGAGGGACATTCAGTATAATTCTTCGAGCTTATTGTACCTGCCTCATATGTCAAGCTTTTAGCCAATCACAGCTGCAGTAGCAGATTAATGTGGGTCACATCTAGCGGGGTTACCTGATAAATCAAATCTGGTCAGGGGGGAACGCCCAAACATCTTCCCATCCACAAAGGCAAAAATGGCGTCCTTTTGCTCAAAATAGAAAGTATTCCAGCTACAACCGGTGCAGCCATATTTGTTTTGCTTCAGTCTTTTGCCTCTGGTTGATGCATTGACATCATACAGGTCACTGCATTTCATTGGTCAGAAACATAACTGTATCAAGGCTCACACATCTGCTGGCTCCTGGCAAGATAATCAATAATGGCACCCTTACTTGAAGTGGACAAAGTGAGTGGACAGTGAGTTTGTAGAAAAGATAAATATTCACAGAGCAATAATTGGCTTAGAGGTGGTCACATAAAATCCATAGGTTCTTAGTCTGTTTTACCATGCAAAATTACTTTTGGAGAGGCTGCAAGCTAGGTCCATTTGCCAGATCAGCCAATTAAGAATTTCCTAAAATGTTTTCCAAACAGCTGAACACACCATCTTTAATAAACAAATGTCAGTCTATAGGAAAATGAAAAATTCTGTTTATTTTTGGCAGAAATAGGGGAGATTTTATCTGATCTTATTACATCAGAGAGAATCAAACAGCATCACATACCGGTAGGAAAAAATTTTGTGTAAGTGTAGACATTAAATATCCACTGATAGTGTCTTTTAGTCCAAGAGTTTTGATCTCTGAAAAGTTGTTTAAGTTACTGAAGTCACTACAAATGTGGGCATGTCTTATTAGCTGTTTCCCTTCTATTACTCTGAGGCTTTCTTTACGTTTCTACAGATTCACTACAGTATGACACCTGTCTACTACAGGTAAGGAGCTGTTGCATATCGTAATTAACAAAACCATAGGTCAAAACACCCAAACCCTTAAAGTACCTATCCCTTATTTTGCTGTTGAAAGCACATTGACAGGGGTCTATTATCCTTAAATGTTGGGTCGTTTTGTTCATCATAATTCCCTCAAAGTTCTTCCACTAAAACAAATACATGTATAGAGGCCCCTTGATGTAAACTGATAAATCAGCATAACCATCTTGCTCCCATTTCCATTCACTAGTCCCAACTCTCTCCCATCATGCCCACTCCATAAAGCAACAAGTGTGCAAAAACATGTCATCCCAATGATGACAACACTCTATGAGCCGCAGAGTATTGATGTACTGCCAGCACAGCTTCGCAGATGCAGCAGCAGAGACACACCCTTTGCAGACGCACACTGCCATACTCCACTTCCTCCTGCCAGAGAACAGACACGTTGAGCCTGAGGGATTTTGCTCTCTGAAGTTTTCGCTGACGACTCAGCTGGGAGCCCCAACAGTTTTTCCATAACCTTTAAAATTCAAATGGTAACTAAATCCAATAAGGAAAAGTTAAGTGTTATAATGAGGAGGGACACGAGCAGAGGTCAAAGGTGAAGTGAGGGTAGGGTTTGTAAAAAAATTTCCCTTATAAAAAAACCTGGTTTTAACTTGTTTTTTTTTCCAAACTACACAATATTTATGTAACAAACACGGCCAACAATAATATTTACTTAAAAAGTGTTTTAAAGCTGAAACGTTCTAAAAGAAAAAAGAATGATTATAATGATTTCCAAAGTATTGGTGAGTCTAAATCATCACATATATAACAGTAAAGCTTACCACCTGTTCCAGCACGTTTATCTCTGTGATGTCTCTAAAATCATAAGGACCTGAATGATTTTTAAAGCTTCCCAATTATGATGCACTCTTAGATACTGTTTAGCAATTACTTAATCATTTTATTGATTTTAATATTGATCCTTCATCAGTTTAAATAAACAACACTTCTATTGCTGTCAGTCTGAGACTTTTACGAATAAAAACAAAACAAAACAAAGGTGAGTGAGTAGAATATGGATAAGGGGAAATTCATCAAGGAAAAAACGGCAAATTCAGGAAAAGGTTAAAGAAAAAGGAAAAGAGTGAGGAAAAAGTTGTGTCTGTCTGTCTTACCGGGGGCAATGTGTTGAGTCTGGCTTCCCAACGCGTCTGCTGCCAGGATCTGATCTGGGATCAGTTCGCTCCTTTGACCGTTTAGGAGCGTCGCTCTTCTCGCTGGAAAACTTTCTCCACTTCTAACTTCACTTCAAACCTCTGCGGCGAAGATGGATGCGGCTTGCCGGTTACTTTTGTCCTACTACTGAGGAAGTTGCTGGTGAGTCACAAGATCCCGCCTCCCAAAATACATTCCTCCCATCCCCTCCCCACCCAGCGACTTCAAACAAGCGCAGACAGAGAAGACCAGGCAGGAGGGGAGATTCTTTCAAGGTCTTTTGTGTCACTCAGAGTTTATTTAAGTCCGTGTTGAAAGTATCTTTGCATATATTTTGACAAATAAACGGAAGAGGATTAGGGCCACTGAAAATTTACTTCAGTTTAATGTGGAAAAAAAGTCAGAATTCTCAGATTAAAGTCAGAATTCAGAGGAAAAAAGTCAGAATTTTGATTTTAAATTCAGAATTCTGAGGGAAAAAAATCTGAATTCTGAGATTAAAGTCAGAATTCAGAGGAAAAAAGTCAGTCAGAATTCTGAGGAAAAAAGTCAGAATTCTGAGATTAAATTCAGAATTCTGAGATTAACGTCAGAATTCTGAGAAAAAAAGTCAGAATTCTGAGAAAAAAGTCAGAATTCTGAGATTAATGTCAGAATTCTGAAAAAAAAGTCAGAATTCTAAGAAAAAAGTCAGAATTTTGAGATTAACATCAGAATTCTGAGGGAAAAATTCAGAATTAGGGGCAGAATTCTGAGAATAAATTCAGAATTCTGAGATTAGGGTCAGAATTCTGAGATTAAAGTCAGAATTCTGAGAAAAAAAGTCAAAATTCTTAGATTAAAGTCAGAATTCTGAGAAAAAAGTCAGAATTCTAAGATTAGTCAAAATTCTGAGATTAAAGTCAGAATTCTGAGAAAAAAGTCAGAATTCTAAGATTAGTCAGAATTCTGAGAAAAAAAGTCAAAATTCTTAGATTAAAGTCTCAGTATTCTGAGAAGAAAGTCAGAATTCTGTTTTTTTCCCCCTATTAAACTGAAATAAAATGGAAAAATCAGTTCACTTTTTTTTCAGTGGCCCTAATCCTCTTCCGTACAAATAAGTAGCAATGGTTATGACAAAAGATATTTTCAAATTACCGTGAAGGGTTTTCCTTAAAGGAAATACATCCTCCCTCAAAAGATGAACTTTTGTTGAAAGAGATTCAGTTTAAAAAAAAAGAAAAAGTAAAATAGGCATATTTGTGTGTTTATTTAAAACCAAAAAGCGGCATGTGAAAAGTGGGGCAGAAGGTGGTTATTTTGCTGACCGATTTATTTGTTGACTGTTCAGATTAACTTTTTTTTTTTTTAGATCTAATGGCAAAAAATTAATAATTTAAACAAAAAGAGTTTAATCTTAAATGGACTATGTATATATATTCTGCACAGTTTTGGCCGATTACTGATTAGTAAATTACTTGATTACTTGATGATAATAATAAAAAAAAAACTGATTTTGAGTGATCTAATTGATTGTTTCAGCCCTATTGGTAAAAGTTGATATTAACTCAATAAGCATATGGAAAATCTTTATATGTATTTTAATAGTAGAGTGTTTTTCTATAACTGTTGATTGTTGGTGTTCCATTTGTATTTTGCATCCTATATCTGCCTCTTTCTCCTTGGACCCCAGTCGGCCTCGGCAGATGGCCGCTCACACTGAGCCTGCTGGAGGCATCTTCCTGTTAAAAGGCAGTTTTTCCTCTCCACTACCGCTACAAGCATGCTTAGTGTGAGGGATTGCCTTTGAGACATTGATTCGATACAATCAACTGGTTTTCCTTAGATAGAAAACTTTGAATCAGTTTGATTGATGTTTGATGATCTGGTTGAATTGCAAAGAGCCTTGAGATGACATGTGTTGTGAATTGGCGCTATATAAATAAACTGGAATTGAAACTGAATCCTTCTCTCCTACCCACAACCCTCAACTCTCATCTTGTTGAAATTGAATTGTATTGTGTGCTCAGATATGATACGATGGACTAATGTTTCCTTTCTGTCATCTATAACCAGTTTCTATGACCCTTGACATAAAAAAGGAATTTCCTTCCACCTAATTGGGGCTTTCTGTGTATTTTTAACAGATGGTTGTGCTTGAAAATCCCAGAAGAACAACAGGCGAATCTGGCACCAAAAGCCATGTCACATTCAAAGTAATCTGAATCCCCTGCCTTCCACTTTCTGATACCTTTATGATGTGATTAAAAAGTAATAAAGTAACCAGATGCAACTGTCTTGAAGTACTGCTGGCTGAATGTTTACAATTAATCATTATTTATTTGTCAGGTAGCATCAAACACTTTTTTTTTTTTATCATAACCTCTTTAAAAAGCAGCACTGTTTATATTTAATATTTCCCTTTGCACTGATGCTGGTTTCACCAAACAGTACAACGCTGCCCTTGGAGATATGAACAATTTTGTTTTTTTTCTTTTTATAAATGTGAATTGTGATTAATTGAATTTTGATTGGTTAAAAACCTTGAGCTTCAAAGTGTTTTTTTTTCCGTGCTAATACTATTATTTCATTGGTCAGACAATGATACTTTAAATAGCTTTACTCCATCCAGCCATGAATGACAGCTGTATAAGGCCTGTAAAGTTTCCACTTTTGGCCCTGATCTGACCATCTCTTTGCAAACTTTCTCCCGGCACTCCTGACAATTTTGGGAAACATTACAGCCAAGTGAATACTTGTGGACAGACTGAACAGCAGCCAAACCATAATATCACCTGCACTCAGTGACCTTTGCTGATCTGTGTATGTCCTAATAAGACTAGAACCGACTCAGAAAAACCCAGCCCAGTTATTGAATTTCACTTCCCCTTTTTAGAGTGTGTCCATGCCAGATGTTTCTTTTTTCATGACTCAACAAGTGGGAGAGACATTTGCCTCAATGCAGCAGGCTGTTGCATGTCACTCAGAATTTTCATCTCTGATCATCTTAGTCATTAGTTACTCAGTTATACATTAAAGCATACTACTGCTGAAAGAAATCCTATCCTGTATGATAGGCTTTTCTGTTATTGTGTGTAAAAAACACATACAAAAAAAAATAAAATAAATAATAGGCCTAAAGATGCAAGATAATGCCTTTTTTTGTTTCAAATTTTACCAACAGCACTCCAAAAAGATAAAGACTTAAATCCACAATAAAAATTACAGGCTTACATTTAGCAAGCAAAACAACAGGAGAGATGAGAACAGTAAATCTGTTTAAGTTTATGCTCCAAGTTATTCATGTGAAAAAAGTTTGAAATCTTTTATATGGAACAATTAACTTAAAATTTAATTGTTTTGTTTGTTGGTTTGGGAACTGTGTGGCATTGAATAGGATGGTTGCCTCCTTTGTCTTTTTTTTCCCTTTTTTCCCAGCGAGGAGTTGTAGAATGGAAAAAGATTAAAGGGCGGAGAGGCAGTTGAGTTAGCAGTGACATATCCTGATTGCTTCAGAAAGGAGAGGAGGGGGATTTAGGGAAGGGCTCACAAGGTGAGTCCTCAGAACTGGAGCAGGAATGAGAAAGTGGACACTAGAGTCCAGTAACTAAGCATCAATAGGAATGGACATTCTGTTGACGACAGTGGGCAAGGGTAAGTGTTAAAACTTAAGGAACACTGGACACACAAAAGAAGGGAGCCTGTTATCACTCAGGTGAGCAAACAAATCCTCTTTAAACTCCTCCTGGTGAGCCTCAACAAACTCCAGCTGTGAGGACACACCTGCTGGTCACACCCTGCAATAAGGAGAGGAATGGAGAGAATAATATATACCAACCAGCACTCAGCCCTCTAGGGATGTCCTGATCCGATTTTGGAACTTGTTTCAATTAAATATTGAAATGAACCGACCAACATCTAGCAGGGTCCCCCAACTTCCTGGGTACCGACTAAAAACACTGAATGGGGTGGTCAGCGTTCATCTAAACTTCATGCATAATAAACATGTTTTCAAGATTTCTTTTCATTTCTAATTTTCTTTAGAAGTTTATTTAGAAATCTCTATAAATTATAAGTTGTGCTGTTTCCAGAAGCTGCTGAGGGCTCCTATGTAACCCATTGGTTATTGATAAATGGATCAATTGCTCTTAGACCCAATGGTGCATTTTTTTCCCTTTTTTTTGCACTGTTTGAGTATATCACTTGATTAAGCCTATTCTAACAGTGACTATTACAAAATATGCTATGAAAGCATGTATGAGTTGTGCTGACATATGGGGTCAATATTGATATTCGTCAGTACTCAAAATACCCTAAATTTGTACTATTTATTATTTTCTACTTTGTATAACCAGGTAAAAAAAAGAAAAACTAATTTAGATTAAAATCTCTTTTTCAAAGTGGCTTGGCCAAGAGTGCAGCAACAACAGTTATAAAAGTAAAAGACAGAATCATACAACAATCATACACAACAGAAACATGAGATTGGAAATATATTATAAAATTTTAGGACTATAATGTTCTTCACGAGTTCTGTAATATCTATATAGTTAAACTCATAATTATTTATACCGTAAAGATTTTTTCAGATTCATCACAGTCAGATTTGTGTGCACAAACATGGAAATTGTTTTTTGTTGTCCATTGTTCATTTTGTAATCAACTGTCCAAACAAAAACCATGATGTGTGGAAGATACACTCAACGGGATAAAATAAGCACAAAATATAAAAGAATGGCAATATGTACAAGTGTGTCTGTGCAGCTCTGAGGCCTTTCAATTGAGGCCTATTGAGGCCTTTCAAGCTCAAAAACTTAAAGCTTATCAATGGAGTGGAAACATGGTTTACTGTTCTACCGAAGGGTTTAAGTGTTGTATAGATTATAATATATTATATTAGATTATAAAGGATATACATAAGCATGTTTTAATTAATTATACAATCAAACCTGTCTTCATTACAGTCAAAGTAGAACTTTGTGATTAAATCTAAATACTATCGAAGGTGAATCTCATTAGATGCAACTGGGATTGATAATCTATAAATGTTGCTTGTATAGGTTTTTTGTTGCTTGGTTACATAAAAAAACACTTAATTGGAATTTTCTAACTAAAAACATGACAGTCAAAGCTTGTGACTTGTGTTTTTCATGGTCCTGTGACATCTAAGGGAATGTGATCT